GACTGCCGCTCGACACCCGGTTCTGCTCCATATTCCTTCACCTGATTGTACACATATTTATTGTCACTGTAAATAAATAGAGCACTTCTTGCACCGAAGCCAGCTACCTGGGTCCATCATTTCTTACTCGCTCACCTCCCTACCAGAGCGTTTCTAACAAGTCAGGCAGATATTCAGCAAAGTACTCATCAATTCACCTCCATTATGTAGTCAACACATGCATGTGTATCAGTAGCCACTGTTTTTTTTTTTTAGCATTACATTGATCTCTGAACTTTTTACATAGTTCTGGTCATTTGAACTCATCTGCCACAGAACCACACACTCTCCTGATGCCTACAGTACAAATATAACATTACTGGGAGCAGCTACACTTCTAGACAAAACATTTATTTTACAGAAGGCAAAATGCAAATGCCTGTTGTTAAAAGGGTGATTGAATGACTGATGCTTTTTGGCTGACCATTCACAGACTTAGTTCTTGTACAAGATGAAGAAAAGGTCTCATTTTATTTGGACATATTTTGTTTTGATCTATTTCACAAGCTGCCACAATAACAGATTTATCCAAAAGTCTTACTTCGAGGGCACAAGGGTTTTCAGATGAAGCTTTGTTATGTCCAGAAAATGAAACTCCGATAGCTGATGAGCAGCATTAGAACACTGTATAAATATTTCACCTGCTTTTAGCAACAGGCAGCGGCAGATCATCCTGTCCTGGTAGCAACAAGGCTGTGTGTGTGTAAGCTAATAGGTTGATTGCAGCTCTTAAGCCTGACCTATGTGTTCTCAACTATGCAAACACATTTAACTAATGGCTGCAATTTCAGCTGCTCATGCCCACACACACACACACACACACACACACACACACACACATAAACTATTATATGTTACTGCAGAAGGAGAAAGCAGCAGGGAGACAGAAAAAAGATCATTAAAGAAAGAATTTCTAAAAGAGAAGAGAAATTGATGTTTTCTGCAGCGTGTCCTTGTCCTGAGGACGCCTCTCTCTCTCTCTCTCTCTCTCTCTCTCTCACTCTCACTCTCTCTCTACGTCTGTCACTCTCTCTTTGCAGTGATGTACCTGGTCCATTAGAGAACATCCATTTTACTAATTTATCATCCTGCTCCTCTCAACGTCCGGTTAGCTCCCTCTTCCATTCTGCCATGTCCCTCTAACACGCAATCTGGTGTCCGCATGCACACTTTACACACACACACACACAATTTCTGGTAAAAGCTCCTTTTGTCAGCAGAATATTTGACAGCTACTTCTTCCTGAAGTGGGAAAGCAGATGTGCTGTTTTGGTTTAAAATAGTTCAGACTTTGTATCTGAAGTATCGGATCAGGAGACACATCCAACATTGCTTATGTACATTGTCATGCGTCAGTGCCAAGTTATCCAGACTTTATTTCTTATTTAAACGTGTTTTGTGTTATAATGGTAAAATCTGGCAGCTGTTGTGTGAAGAGTG